TGTTATAGGCTTTTTTAGGACTAATCGAAAACTCGGTGCCATAATTCCATACAATTTTAGTTGAACAGATATTAGTGTTTTGCATTGTGTGATTAGACATTGATTCAACTATAAGACGAGAAGATGTGATATACGTCACACCAAAACACAAAAGTTTGATCGTTAAAGTTTACAATTCCGTTCGAATCTTTTTTTTTGGGCCTTTGATAAAATTACATAATTGGGCCTTTCGGATCCTTGTTGGGTTTCCATAATCTTTATCGGGCCTATCTCTATATATATTTTTTCAAAACAAAATTTTGAGAGACTTGAAATTAGTTGAAGATTACCAAAAAAATGAATATTATGAACTGATTGTGAAAGATGCCTGAATATAGTTACAAATACAATCAAAGATTTGTTAATATCAAATTTTCTTATACTAATATAGTATGTTGAAAATGATATATTTTTTTCATTATTGTAACAATTTACTGAGATTTCACATGTTTTTTATTGCTAAAACTAAAAAAAAAAAATATAACAATGCAAAGATGCCTTTAAAGTACTACAGTCAACAACAATATATTGTCATTAAATAATAATTTCTCAATAATTTGATGGTCTGATATTTTCGATGATAGAAAGCGAGACCAACGTCACAACTTTGACATTACTTGCAAAAATAGTAACAGTTGAAATCTTCTCCTTTACGAGCTAAAAACTTAATATTTTGGTTGACAAAAAAAAAGGAACATATAATATTTTTATAGTATTGTTCTAACTATATTATAAAGGATTCTTGCGTTTTATGCTCAACCAATACCTCTTAAGTATTGATTCACAAATTGGTGTAAAAAGAAAAGAGTATTGATTCACAAATCATTCAACACCCAACTCTACAACTTTTTGTAACTCTCTTTTGTATTGGCTTAGATTCGTCTTTTTAGTTTGTAGTAAAAATGTCAAAAATATAGCTTTAACATGTTCAGATCATCATTATGGTATTTTTTTTTTTTTGTATAAAATTATTGTACATAAGCACCGTACATACAAATCAAGCATCCATGTTTTCTAGATGTTTTCATGTTTTCTCTTGCACACGATATTAATTGATTTGATGTATTTATAAACTCACATCAATGTTCGATCTCGTGACAATATAATTGATCCCAAAGATTCTATTTTTCATACACTTGTCCTCGATAATGAGCGCGAATCTTGCTTCAGGAACATAAGACGACACATACTGACATACAATATTTAATTTGCAATCTCTGTAAGTATAGTCATGCGAATTATATTTACAAAGGTAAAGAAAAAATAGTTTAATCCTTTAAGGCTTTTAACCATAAAATAATTATGGTAGCTACTTATGGGTTATGGCTTCATGGTTTTCTATTGCAAAAGAGTATATCTTAGTATTTTTAACGATTCATATATTATATATGTATTTG